TGTGTGTGTGCGTGTGTGTGTGCGTGCGCGCACGGGCGTGGGCGTGGGCGCGCGGGCGTATGCCTTTCTGTTCAGCGTTGGCCCTTGCAAGTGACGGGGTCTGGGCATGTGCCGGTGCGGTGGGGCCAGGCGGCCGTCGCCCTCCCGTCCTGCCGTCCACCCCCATCCCCTTGCGTGTTCATTTCCACAGTGCACCCACAGCAGCAGCCTCCTGGTCCACAACCAACAGCCCATCACCCAACTCCTTGCACTCTCACGTCAGCTCCCATCCCCCTCATCACCCTAAAACCACAACACACGAAACCCCCCAGGGATTTCGTTCTCCGCGTGGCCAAGGAGCCCGTGGTGCTGGTGGGCAACAGCATCGGCGGCTTCATCTCAGCTTCCATGGCCGCGGACTACCCAGACCTGGTGAAAGGCCTCGTCCTGGTCAACAGCGCAGGTGTGGGACGTCATCAACTTGCCCTAGCTGATTTTGAGCTCTTGATTGCGCGCTTTTAGGTTGTGTTGGTCAGGGTGCGCTGCTGCCGGGGTCCGTGGGCTGGGTTGGCGGGGGACATCGATGCTGCGGCTGCGGTCAGACACACGGTCGCGGACATGAGCGGCCACTGGAGAAGTCGGCGGCACTCTGGTTGCCCTTCCGCACATATGCACACGACCTCTAGCACGTGCACACGCAACCGCGCGCTCGCTCGTTCACTAAGTAACACGCATCACGCCCCCCCCCAAAATCCACACAGGCCCCATCGACGCGAGCTTCGACATTCAGGAGCACGCGACCAAGACCAAGTCCCCTCCCCCCGCCTGGGTGGCGAGCGCTGTCACCGCGGGGCTCATGGCGTACCTGGAGGGCTCCATCGCCGGCCAGCTCAAGTGGCTGTACCCTACGGCGCCTGAGAGGGCGGACACGTGGCTTGAGCAGGAGATCTTCAGGTGGGGCGATGAGTCACCAAGATCCGGGCATTTGGGAGGGGGCGTCGTCGGGCCGGTCGGGTGGGACAGGGCCGCGTTGGAGGGGGCGCCTTGGTTTGCGGCGACTGGGCTGCCTTTCTGGGCATGCCACTGGTAATTGTGACGACAAGAACGTGGTCGCCATGCGTCCCCTTCTTTATTTTGAGCGCTCCGCCCCTGCTGACTGGACATGTCAGCATCGGCGGCCTCCACTCACGCAACTGAACCACCTCCACGTGCCCAGCTGATGCTCGACCCGCAGCCTGGTGCACGCCCTCCCCTCCCTCCAAACTACCCTCCAAACTACCACCACAATTCCCCCGCAACATCCCCAGGGCCGCCTGCGACGGCCGCAGCCCGGACGTCTTCCGCAGCGTCTTCTACCTGCCGCCCCCCAGGGCCCTCAACTGGCTTGTGGCTGACGCCTGGCGTGGCCCGACCCTGGTGCTGCAGGGGGTGCTGGACCCGCTGAACGACGCCGCGGGCCGCGCGGCGCAGATGGAGGCGCTCTGCCCCAACGCGAAGGCGGTGCGGCTGCAGGTGCGCGGGGTGGTGGGGGGGAGCGCCGCTGGGCTGCGGTGCGCTCGCGCGAGATTTCGGGCCCGCGGCGTGCTTGCCTTAGCGTATAGATGTCTTCCCTCATTCCCCACTGGATGCCTCTGGATGCACCAGAGAGCTGCTCATCCCAGTTCCTTGACTGCTGCCTCTCATGTGCGGGTTTCATGCCCCCCTCCCCGGCTACTGAACCCTGGTGTACCGTCCCTTCGACCCTTACCACATTTTTGCCGCCCCCCCAAACCAGGCCGGCCACTGCCCCCAAGATGAACAGCCCGAGGCGGTCAACAACGCACTGCTGCAGTGGATCGTGTCAGACGTGATGGGCCAGGCGGGACCCGGCGCCGCCAGCGGCAGCGAGGTGGCGGCGGCGGCCCCAGCCGCGAGCTGAGGGCGGGGGACGAGACCAGCGACGCGCCGCGGGCGTCGCCGGCTGGGACCAGGGGGTGGTGACGTTGTGTGTAATGTGCGCCGCGCAGGCGCCGTTGGGGAGGGGCGTTGCGAGTGTTCCTGTGTGTGCGAGTTTATGAGGTCTTGGTCATGTTTACCACATGTTTTTTTCAATGACTGTGTGCTGATTCTATCCTGGGGTGGTGTGGGAGTTGATAGCAATTGCCAACACCAGTAAAATTGACAACAATCCCCAGT